TGTAAATAAACGTGCACTATTACAAAATTAAACAATCAAAGCGAGCACGTTTCTCGTCTAATCAAACCACCCCACACTTGAACGATGCTTGCCCTCAAGCTGTCAAGCATCAAGCCAAATTCAATATCCCAAATCATAATCACACTCTTTTCTCCTCTTTTGTCAATTCAAAACATTTTCGCACAAATAAGACATAGTGGGAGCCTCATGTACTAACATTAATGACAATCATTCTTAACAACCAATCAATATCAAATGCAAACGAGGACCAACACATCTCACAAGGTTCGCTCAATCACTCAAGTGTATAGGATAAAGATATATATATGAACGCTCAAGTCAAATCATAGAAAATCTTTACCATAAGCTTGCATTGCATCATGCTCGTCAATTCAAAAATAAACATAAATCTACAAAACATCAAAGGGTGTATCACAAGGTTGTAATGACGGGTAGGGAATAATGGCCCAATTTTCAATAAGCAAGAAGAAGAAGAATAACGTAATTCAAAAGATTGGAGCAACCATGTGAATCCCGTCCTAAAAGGGCTCAACAAAATAAGCACGCTACCTATGAATGACAATCATAATCTATGATCACGAACAAACATACAACCCGAGAATATTCCCTTCTTTCTTATCCCATATTAAACAAAAAATCTCAACAAAATCCCCAAATCATTCGTCCTCCTCTTTTCCAATTTTTTTTTTTATTTTATTTTTTTTTCTGACCTATTTCAGAGACATGTTCAATTTTTTTTTCTTTTTTTACCTGTTTCAGAGACAGGTTCGAATATATATATTTATTTTTTTATATTATTTTTTTTTAGGAAAAGAGGTACACAGACTACTCAACAAACATATAACCTGAAAACGTGCCAATGCCAAACCCAAACAGACAACTCCAAACCCCCTCAAACAACTCAAACAATAACCAACTTGTTCAGAACATTCAATATCAACATGCACAACCCCCAATAAAACTCAACATACAGTCATAAAACTCCATGCTCCAACAACACTCAGCCCCTGAACAACTCAAACAAAGAATCACACGATTGCTCCAATCCAAGGGTTCAAATGGCAAATCAACAAACGGAAATCATGTTGTTCGGATTAAAATTATAACCAATGAAAAAGGCATAAGCTCAAAGGGGCCAACTAATGGATAATAAACCGTTCGGCTCATCGCAAGAAAATGTCAC